TTGGCAGCAGGGCCCGGGGTTTCTGGGGGGGTCTCTCCAGGGCAGGGCAGCCTGGAGATGCCTCAGGGGTGGCTTAGCACCTCACCGCATCCTTCCTCTGTGTAGGAAATCAGCTGGGGTAGGGGGTGCCAGGCACTCAAGCCTCAGCCCTACAAACCCCTCCATCTCTGGCTCTGGGAGAGACATCTCCTGGGTGAGCGAGAGGTGCTAACGATGTTATTTAATCGCGGTGAGGAGGAGGGGGAAGCACAAGGTCTATTCGTGTCCCTTTAATAAACCATGTTCGACCCGCTGACCTTTAACCTGCCTGACAAGCCCCGTTATCCCCATCCCTTAAGGAATAAAGACGTCGCCATGGCAATGGGATGATGGGGAGGGAACCAGGTCCCTGAAGCTTCACCCAGCATGGGGTGGGGACAAGAACACTCTGCTCTGGCCCTGCATCAGCACCTGAACAGCAGTGCTGGGTGGAAGTGGGGTGTGCTGGGTGTGCCATGGCTTTTGGGGGGGCCAAGCACCGTAGATGGGGTCTGCGAGGTTGGCAGAGCGGAGCTGTGTTGCGCACCGGCGGGGTATTGATCCCTAGGCTTGACAGTTTAATACTTCTGTTTATAGAGGAATATAGTTACATCGATGGCGTTAAATGAGTTACTAATTATATCAATACAAACACGATTAAAAGGGTCCTTGCTCATAGGTCACCGCAAGCAGGAGCCACTGCTCGCGTTGCACAACTGCCCAACTGCTACGAGGCGCAGGGTGGGGGGATGCGCTGGGGTGGTGTGTGCCTCTGTGGGGTGTCCAGGGTGGGGGTGTCCCTATCTGCAGCTGTGCATGCCCGACTGCGTGTGTGTGTGCCTGTATGGGGTTGTGCATGCACGTATGGAGTTGTGAGTGCCCGTTTGGGGTAGTGCATGCCCATCTGGGGTTGTGCGTGCACATGTGGAGTTGTGCATGTCTGTCTGGTGTTGTGTGTTTCAGTCTAGGGTTGTGCATGTCCATCTAAGGTTGTGCTTGTCCGTATGGGGTTGTGCACACACATATGAGGATGTGCATGCCCATCTTGGGTTGTGAGTGCCCGTCTGGGATTGTGCATGCCCATCTGGGGTTGTATGTGCGTGTACAGGGTTGTGCATGTCTGTCTGGGGTTGTGTGCACACATCTGGGGTGCGTACCTGTGCAGGGCTGTGCATGCAAGTTTGGGGTTGTGGATGCTCGTGCAGAATTGTGAAAGGCTGTGCAGGCTCATCGTGAGTTGTGCATACCTGTAGGAGGCTGTGCACATCCAGATGTGGCAGTATGTGCCTGTGTAGGGATTTGTGCTTGTGAGGGTTGTGTGTGCATGTACAGGGTTGTGCACACTCATGTGATGTTCTGTGCGCCCATGCAGCGTTGTGTGCACCTATGCAGGGTTGTATGTGGCTGTGCAAGCTTGTGTGCACCCCTGAGGGGATGTGCATGCATGTACAGTGTTGTGCGTGTGCTTATGTGGAGTTGAACGTGCCCATGAGGGGTTGTGGATGCTCATGTGTGGTCATGTGTACCCACACAAGGCTGTGCACACTCGAGTTGTGCGGTCCCATGTAGGGTTGTACATGCCTGGGTAGGGTTGTGTATGCTTGTGCAGGTTTGTGCACACCCGTGTGGAGTTGTGTCAGCCTGTGTGGGGTTCTGCACACCCACATGAGGTGTGTGTGTCCCCACAGGGATTGTGTGTGACAGTGGGGGGTTGTGATCCGCCACTTGGATGGCTGGTCCCCAAGTGAGGTAGGAGGGGACCACAGTGCTCACCGTGCAGGAGGAGGAAGAGGGAGAGTGGCAGGGCCAGGCACCCTGGGTAGGATCAAGCTGGCTCCTTCCTCAGGGTCTCTGGGGGTCCCTCCATGCTTGGGAGCTGTTGCAGACCACCACCCATGCCACCTCTCTGAACCTATGGCACCTGGATCCCACTGCCAGCCTTGGCAGGGACCCAGCCCGCTCTTCATCAGCAAGAATCCACCTCCTCGCCAGCCTGAGCATACCCAAATCGTATGGGACACCCGGTGCATCCCCTGTTACTGAGCTCCACTCTCATCACCACTTAAAACCCGACCTTTGCTCCCTGTTTGATGTAATGTGTTTTTGCGTCTCGGTGCCCCACAGTTAAAAGGTTAGAGGTTAATAAATGGTGGAAAAGTAGATCCCGGTGCTCAGAGGTCACACCCGTTCGGGGGCAGTGGTGGCATGTGCCGGGTGGGATCCTACTTGCCTTGGTGGAAGCAGAAATGTGAGCAGCACCCAGGGGTCTAGCAGAGCTGTGGGTGCTGCTGAGCTTGGAGTGCAAGAGCCCACCCATGGGGTTGACCCCCCGGGAAGGTGGTGGCTTCTCCCTGCTGTGGGATAGGCAGTTGCTGGTTTTGGGGGGTTTACTCCTGCTTTGACAAGCCAGGAGATGGCAGGGAGTGGAAACAGGCTCAGTGAGGGTCAGAGCCCTGGTGCAGGCAGGAACAGACAGAGAAGCGCAGGCAAAGCCTAGCTCATACAGCCCTTCAGGGGCTGAAATCACAGCAGCCCCCCTGAGGCTCTGCTCCAAGCCTGACCTAGTTACCATGATTGATGGGTGGGACCCAGGATGGATGGAAGGGGCAGAGATGAAGCAGCTCAGAGCTGGGCAGTCAGCACCCATGGATGTGGTAGGAGAAGGGCAGTAGCACCCATAGATGAGGTTAGGAACAGACGGTTAGCACCCATTTGTTAAAGGGTCAGGCAACTGGCACCATGGGTTAGATGAGGGACTTTGATAGATATGTCTCTCCAGTGATGAGAACTGTGGGGTGTCTATAGAAGCATCCCTGCATCCCCACATCCCCATATATCCTCATGTCCCTCCATCCCTGCATCCCCACATCTCCATGTCCCCCAAGTCCCTACAACCCCACTTCCCTGCATTCCCAAGTCCCCACATCCCTGCATCCCAATATCCCTGCATTCGTGTGTCCCCATCGTGTCTTTGCATCGCCCCATCCCCACATCCCCCTGTCCCTGCAGCCTGACAACCTGCAGCCCAGTCCCTTTATCTGCCCGGTGAATTATGTGCTGTGTGCAGGGGGGGATGCTCCCTTTCTATTGGTTTTTAACGGCCTTTCCCAACACAATTGTTTTTTAAACGACTCTATTTTGTGCCTGACTTTGTTTTCCAGCTTGCATTTCTTTGTATATGTTTTGGAAATCCATTCTGGACTGCTGAGTTTTGTTTCTTTTCAATGGCTTTAAATTCTTACCAGGCTCGCTGGGAGGAATTGGTGTCTATAGCGCCTTCGATTGGTGCTAATTTTTCCTTCATGTGCTCTGACTTTTACTGCTGGGCCATCGATCTGGCGGGCTCCAATTTGTCATGGTCACCTAGGCGCTGTGCTGGAATCAGGCAAGCCCCGGCTTTCGCACAGAGCCGGCACTTCGTATCCATGGCATAGAGGCTGCGCTCACCTCCCCAGTGCTGTCCATCTGCTCAGCCTCGGGGGTTGTGTCCGTGTGTCCAAAGCTGCATCCATCCAACACACATAGGTATCCACACAGCTGTATCTGTGCACACTCACGTGCATGCTCACCAACCTGCACACATGCATCAGGCACCCACAGGCTTGCTGGAACACACATGCAGCTGTGTTGGTGCACACACGGCACTTGCAGGCATACACCCACTGCAGGAAGCCCTTGTGCCTTGCAGGGATGTGTTGCTGCCACCCCAGTCCCCATATGCAGCTAAGGAAGATGAATTTTGGGTCCTTATCACTGAATCACAGAATATTAGGAGTTAGAAGGGACCTTGAAAGATCATCCAGTCCAAACCCCCTGCCAAAGCAGGATCACCCAGACCAGGTCACATAGGAACGCGTCCAGGTGGGTTTTGAATGTCTCCAGAGAGGGAGACTCCATAACCTCTCTGGGCAGCCTGGGCCAGCGCTCTGTAACCTTCACAGTAAAAAAGTTTTTCCTCATGTTCAGGTTGACCTCCTATGCTCCAGCTTGCTCCCATTGCCCCTTGTCCTGTCATTGGCTGTCACTGAGAAGAACCTAGCTCCTTCCTCCTGACACTTGCCCTTTACAAATTTATAAACATGAATGAAGTCACCCCTCAGTCTCCTCTTCTCCAAGCTAAAGAGACCCAGCTCCCTCAGCCGCTCCTCATAAGGGAGATGCTCCACTCCCTCAATCATCTTTGTGGCTGTGTGCTGGACTCTTTCAAGCAAAAAATGCCCTGCCAGAGGAGATGGCTTTGGGGTGACCAAGCCCAGCTGAGGGGGAAGGATTTGGCAGTGTGTCCCTTTGCAGAGGCACCACAAGCTGTCCTTGGCCATTGATCAGGCCCCAGCTTGGGCTGTGCTTATCAGGCCATTGATAGCTCTGTCACCCCAGTTAAGCAGGGCAGCTCTGGTGCTCACAGCTCCCTCAACACCAGCACCCAGGCACCAGTGCCAGCTTGGTCTGCCCTGGAAGAGACCAGCATCTCCCCTGCACTGGTGAATGTATGTCCCTGTGGCTGAGGATGCTGGTCACATGCTAGGACCTGGTGACCACTGGTACTGGGTAGTGCTGGGATGCTGCTGAGCTGGAGCAGGGCTGAGCAATCCCAGTTGCAAGGATCCAGGATTTGCTGCTGCTGTGTCTACATTGGCATAATCTTCCCAGGCTGAAAATGCTATCACCCACCTGCCTAGTGAGGAGAGGGGCAGGGAAAGCGAGGCACAGATGCAGCAAGGCTGCAAAACAGTCAGTGGTGTGTGGGAAGCCAATGCTAGCCCCCAGGCACAGGAAGAGCCCAGTGCTGCCAGCACAGAGGGTGTGCTGGGGGGGTCCTACCTGTGGGGCAGGGAGAGCCTCTCGTTGGTAGAGCAGGCAAGCAGGGCCAGAGGTGATGCTGGGTCCTTACACAGGCAGGGTCCTGCCACCAGCACTGCACCCCTCTGCCTTGTGCGCCCCGGTATGCTGGCAGTGCTAACCCCTCTCTCTCCCATCCCCAGCTCTACGAACTGGACGAGGACCCAAAACGCAAGGAGTTCTTGGATGACCTTTTTGGCTTCATGCAGAAGAGAGGTAAAGGTGGGTGGCTGGGGTGGGCGCCACTGACATCCCTGCCCCAGCTGCCTGGTGGGGGGCTCACAGTATGGTCCATTTGGGCACTGAGCTGCTGCGGGTCTCTACAAGTCCCCCAGGCAGGTCCTGTGGGTCTCCCCCCACCATCTCCTACACACATGCGTGGATGCACCCCACACAAATGGGGTGGGTGGTCCAGGCAGTGCCAGGCACCAAGGGGTTAAGGGCTCTCCAGCCAACAGAAATCTTTGCTATCGGCATGGGGGGCCCAGCCGGCTCTGGGGACTCGATAAATGCTTTAACCTTCGCCCTCCCTGGCCAGGCCTGCGACAATTAAAAGTTGCCGTGCACGGGCGTGTGGCCGGCTGTATTAATTAGAGCCTTTTGCCGGTGTGTGGATTAATGAACATGCCGCTCAATAGCCAGTAAACCCCAGGCAGAGGTTAATGCCTAGCTAATTAACGGGAGAAGGCTGGGGGGGTACACAAGAACAGCAGGGCTGGTTGTGTGCAAGGTGAGGGTGGGCAGAAAGGGGCAGCTGCCCCCAGGTTGTGCCCATGGGAAGGGTGGTGAGGGTGCCCACCCACCCATGGGGTAGCACTGATCTACTTCTGGGTTGGGGTGAGACCACAAAGTCGTTTCACTCAGGGCTGTGCTACAGGGGGATGGCACGGCTGTGGGGCTCACAACAGAGCCCAGCTGGAGGTGGTGGGGGGCTGGGTACTGCCCCATGGGTGCCCCCAGTTGCCCTGGCCCTGATGCGGGGCTATGGTCAGCAAGTGGAAGCTGCCTCGGCCCTCCAGCATCCATCAGCCGCAAGATTCATGTGCTGTTCTGCGGCTTCATTATCTCTCTCTCCAGAGCTAATTAACTCCCTCACCGTTGGGGCCGGGGCTAATTAAGCAAGTGCCTGGTGGTGCAGGGAGGATGGAGGGAGCCAAAAGCTTCCCTGCTAATGCTGCACCTCATCCTACTGTGTCCAGCCATCCTGTTCCTGTCCCCTCCATCCAGCACCTCCTCCCAATGGGTGGCATCGCCCCAGGATGGGGGGGTGTGCAGGTGTGGGGGTGCAGGTGTAGGTGTAGGTGCAGGTGTGTGGATGCAGGTGTGCATGTGCCTGTTGAAGGAGTGGGGGGTTTTGGAGCCAGCAAAGTGGATGGGGGGCTGCGAGGCAGGACAGCATCCCAGAGACCATCAGGAACTGTCTGAGAAGCAGTTTGAGTGCTGTGGGGGGCACACAGGGGTGCGTGGGCAGGGGGCTGTGATCCCCAGGCTGTTTGCTTGAGGCAGCAGTGGGTATGGTGGGATTGATGCCTATGGAGTGAGCTCTAATGAAAGGGGGTACGTTTCTCCCTGTGCTGTCTGTGAATGCATCTGTCAGTGGCGTGGAAAATTAGCAAGGCTGAAGTATGGGCTGGGAACAGCCCCACTGTGGGGGATGTTGGGGACCTCATGGCACGGGCAGGTCACTCAGCCCCAGTGGGACGTGGGGGTGACTGCTGGAAGGGATCTGAGAGAGCAGGGATGCGATCGGGGTGGTACTATCACCCCCATCAGACAGGGGGTGCAGGCAGTGGAGCACATCATCCTTGTCCCCCAACTTCTGTGGCACCCCAAAAAGTGATGAGCTAGGATGTAGAGGGCCTATTTCTGCTTTTGCTCACTGGGGGCCTGCAGGGCCTCTGTCCGCCCCCTCAAGCTGAGGGCCCTGCCGATAACACGGGGCTATTAATCAATCAAGGAGCTAATTGCAGCACCACAATGGCTGCATCACCTCCTCGAGCTTTTGTGCTGCCTGCCCCAGCCAGGACTGGGGCCATCACTCTGCAGGGTTGCAGACAGGTCCCTTTGTCAGTGGGATGGGCACCGGCCGCCTGCCCCGCGTAGCTCTGAGATTAATGGCGAGCCGCTTTCATTAGCTGCCGGGGCTGTGGAAAGGAGAGGAGAAAAGAAGTCCATGGGTTATTGATCAGGGGCTGAGGCCCGGCAAACTCGTTGGGATGATCAGGAGCCATTGAACGGGTTTCCCCTGAGGGGATGAGGCCGGTGTTGGCAGCCTCAGGGCAGGGCTGGCGAGGGACCATTGGGCAGATATTGAGTCGATATCTCTGGCTTTTTCCCAGGAGATTAAACTCCTCTCCCCCTTCATGACCAGGCAAACAACACAGACACACACACACAAAAAAAAGTTAAATTAACTCAGTAAAGGAATGAAAAGAGCTCATTTTTCAGGCTTATGTGAAGAAGCCGAGCCAATATCAGGGCCATAAATTAGGGATGCTGGAGGATGGTGGTAAGTGACGGCTTCGTTTGAGGGGCAAAGCGCAGCCGTGACAGCCTCCCCCGGCCAAATGGATGGCTTTCCAATACCACCTGCGCCAAGCCACCCTGCAGGAGGAATAAATACAGGGTGGGATGGGATGCCCATACCTACTCTGCCCTGATGCCCATACCTCCTCTGCCCTGCTGCAGCACTCAGCCACTGTCCAGACCATTGCCCAAGGTGCTGTGCACTGTGGAGGTGCTGGGAAACTGGGGATAGGGTTGTCCCACCAGTGGCTGTGGGGACCATGCTGGTCCATACTGGACTCACAGAAACTTGGTGAACCCATGCCCCCTTGCCCCATGGCCTTGGTGGGGGGGTAATGCTGGGGTACCAGGGATCAGGGTCTCTAGTGAGGGCACTTGAAAGGATTTGGGGCCAGGTTTCTTGAAGTGGGGCACTGAAGGCCTTGAAGCAGTTGAGGAGCTGCTGGAGGGGAAACTCTGGGTGAAGGGATCTGTGGGGTGTCTCTCTGGGCTCAGAGGAGGATTTTTTGAAAGAGAAGTCCTCTCTCTAGGAAGGTTATAGGTTGAGTCTCTCCAGAAGGGTTACAGGGGGAGTCCCTCTTCAGAGAGTTCAGA